GGGTTTAATATTTTTCCTAGAACTTTTTTTTTTTTTTTTTTTTTTTTTTTTTTTTTTTTTTTTTTTTTTTTTTAAAAAAAAAAAAAAAAAAAAAAAAAAAAAAAAAGGTTTATTCATATATTTTTTTTTTTTTTTTTTTTTTTTTTGTCAGTTAACATCTGCAAGCATAAACAACAATGAATTTATTTCTCGGTTTTAAATTCATCCAGGTCAGAGCAACTGCCCAAAGTCCTGTTGGATTTGAGGGTTACTGGCGGCGTGGCCAGCAGTAAGTGAGCTCCAGAGGAGTTTAATGTCCTCGGGTGGGGTTTATTCGGTCTTTTCTCTTTCATTCAGAGACAGTTTGTTGTAAAAAGTTTCAGTGCAGCTCACCTTGGGTGAAAGGCGATCGTGTTTTTGAGTTTTTCTTTCTTTTTTTTTTTTTAATATATTTTTTTTAATTATTCTTATTTTTCAAAAGACGTTTTTCTTTCTTTTTTTTTTTTTTCAATATATTTTTTTTTAATTATTCTTATTTTTCAAAAGATGATAATAGGTAACTCAGTTGCTCTGAATTTCACTTATAATTATAACCTATTTAAATCACAGCCGAACTCCCACTGGTGCGGAGCCCGTAGTTGCATACAATACAGGAGATCACAGTTTTGAAGTCTAGCACAGATTAAAAACCACAGATGTACCATTTATATAAGACACACACTGATTGTCTCTTAAAAACTACATATTGACTCCTTATGAACATTATCTTTTTTTTTTTTTTAATCTTTAAATAAAGTAGTGCAGCTAGGACAATCAGTCACACAAACCCACACAGCCCTGAACCAAGTTCTCCGGGTGCCAACTTGAGCAAGTTGGGCGTGAAACAGTTGGATGAGCTCGAGAGCAAGAAAGAGAGAGAGAGAAAGAAAGAGGGAGGGAGGGAGAAAAAGAGGGAGAAAAAGAGAGATGCTGTCCATTCCGAATATTTTAACCGAGGGTTGGCTAACACATTGGAAACCTCTGGGTGAAGGATCTTTCCACGCACACACGAAAAAAAAAAAAAAAAAGAAATAAAAACCTAGACTTTTTTTTGTGACTTTTTTTTTTTTTTTTTTTTTTTAAAACTGGCCCGTAGGTGGGACCATCTCCCACCTCTTCCAAACAAAGAAACCCAACAATTGCCTAAAACTAGAAAGAACACGGATGGGTCTGTCTGTTTTCTGCTCACTAGATGATCTGTCCGTTTAAGGCCTTCCTCCTCCGTTTCTGTTTTTTTTTCCTCTTCTATTATTTCCTTTTCCAGAGCGTCTGAGCAGGAGATGAGTCTGAACGGGATCACACCAACACTGTCCCCCCTCTTGTCGCTGTCGGATTTATTTTTTTTATTTATTTTTGTTTGTTTGTTTGTTCGTTTTGTTTGTCCGTTGAGTTATTTTTCTCTTTAATTTAACCAAGACCTGACTAAAACTGGAGCTTTCCGCCCAGCCTGTTCGTTCTCGTCGCGATTTCTCTCCTTATCACCAAGGTTCTTCACAAAACCTGGAACTTCCATGACGACGTCTGGTCCTTATAATCCAAGCAGTCAGCATTGAAGTTTAACTTCCAGGAGGCCGTTTGGTCTTTATAATCCAAGCAATCGGTGGTGGAGTTAAAGCCCAAACTGGAGGCTCCGTAGCCCTGGGTGGAGAGGGAGGCTGGAGACTGGTTGAGGTGGCTGGTGACCGCGTTGGCACCCATGGGACTCAGGGTGGCCCCCGGCCCGGGAAGCTGGTGGTGCATAGGGGTCAAGTAAGATCCACAGTCCATCCCTCCGAAATAGGAGGTCGAGCCAGCGTATCCTTGGCTGTAGCCTGATGCCTGGGTGTAGGTCATGGGATAGGACCTCTGCATGCAAGAAGAAGAGGTGGACAAGGGGTCGGAGAGCGGGGAGATGGAGGCCGGGCTCCAGATGGAGACGGGGGCGCTGCTGCTGGAGATGGTGGGGACGGAGGTGCTGGAGGGGGGAGTGAACTGCCCGCTGGTCCCACTCTCCGAACTCACTTCCCGGGCAGGAGAATTCTTCTTTTTAGCTGGTCGGACCTTATTCTGGCCCCCGTTCTGCTGCTGCTGCTGCTGCTGCCGGCACTTGGCTCGGCGGTTTTTAAACCATACCTGGAGAGGGAGAGGGGAGAAAGAAAAAAAAACAAAACAAAACAAAAAAAAATGGTGTTAGGGATGCGCAGGCAAACCCAAAAAGAGGGGGAAAGAGCCGGTGGTGGGGACACCTCACCCTGGGGAGTGGGGGGCCACTAAAAGCTCTCCCCGGCGAGCCGAGGGCTGCTGCAAAGAAAAGCTCCGGGGCTCCCCCTCCCTGAGATCATTAGCAGTAATAACAAGTGGAAACGGGCAAATCAAACTGCTTAATAAGGTCACTTTTCGGGGGGGAAAGGCTTTGTGGGGGGGGGGAGAGGGGGAGCACTCCCTATTTGCTGTTTGCCAGCCGGGGACCCCCAGGAATCATCATTTAAGGCCTATTGAAGTCAAGCCCTTTAATTAGAAACAATAGAGCATCAGAAAGGGAGGGAACAATTAGGGAAACAGAGGCAGGGGTTGGGGAGGTGGGGGGGTAAAGATGTCTCATTTACCCTCTAAATAGACCCTCTGCTCTCCCCCAAAGCCAGGGCTAGGCCCCCAACCTATAGCCCCCCTCTTTTAGTGGGGGGCCAAGGGGGCTGGCTCTGGGAAGAAGGGGTGCTGGGGAGATTTTGGGGGGGTGATCTCCATCCCCAGCGGCCATGTTCCTCTGGGCCATGGCACCGGGGAAGCCTTGCAGGAAGGAGAGCAGGAGGGATGGCTTTGGAGCTGCCCTGTCAGGGGTGTCCTGGATCTGTGCTGGGGGCAGCACAGACCCCTGGGATCCCCCTCCTGCTTTCCAAAATGCTGTCTGGACCAGGCTGCCTGCAGAGGAGACACATCCTATCCCCAGGAGAGGTGTCCCCTCCGCCAAGGCCTCTTCTCGTTCATCCAAGACTCTTCAAAGGGAGAGGGAAGCCCCCAGTTTGTACTGGTGCGAAAGGGGATCCCAGCCTGGCCCTGCTCCAGGGATGCAGGGATCCTTGGGGAAGTGTGTGGGGGGGGGATAATGCTTCTCAGGGTCCCCAAAGGCCTGTAGGACAGGCTGGGATTTGGCAGCTGGGACGAGGCACAGCTCAGAGCATGGGGGTGCTGGGGAGCCCTCCCCGGCTCAGGAGGCCAAGGGGGCTGGGGAGGGCTCAGGAGTTGGGATTTGGGGGCTGCACCAACCCCCCCCAGTGCACAAAGAGGAAGGAGAAGGCACACTCCAGCCCTGGGGAGGCAGATTGCCACTCCATACCCCCACCATCCCCGCACCCTCACGCATCTATGAGCCTCCTACACCCCACCGGAGCTCGATTTATCTCCAGGATGGTCCCCATCCCCTAAACCAGCCCGAGTGGGGATGAAGGTGGGGGGGACATTCAGAGGTTCTCCGGGGTCACCCTCCAGCTTCCTACCTGCACTCTGGACTCGGGCAGGTTGATTTTCAGCGCCACCTCCTCCCGCATGAAGATGTCGGGGTAGCGGGTCTTGGCGAAAAGGGCCTCCAGCACGTCCAGCTGCGCCCGGGGGAAGGTGGTGCGCTCCCGCCGCTGCTTCCGGGGGGTGGCTGCAAAAGGAGCCAGGAGCCCTGGTTGTCACTCAGCAGCCTCTCAAGTCCCCCGTGTCCCCTCCAGCCCCCCTCCCCAGGGTGTGTGTGGGGGGGCATCCCCATTTCCCCCATTCTCCTGGGCCACCCGCCCCCCAATTCTCCTCCCCATCTCCCCTGGAGCATCTCTCACCCTCCCTCTTCCAGTAGGAGGGGGCACCCTCTTTGCAGACCCTTCCCCGGATAAAAAGTTGAGGGTGAGGAGAGAGAAAGAAAGGGGGGGACCCCTTTCCAGTCGCCCCCCAATTCTCCTCCCCATCTCCCTTGGAGCTTCTCTCTCCCTCCCTCCCTCCTCCAGCAGGAGGGTGCCCCCTCTTTGCAGACCCTTCCCCGGATAAAAAGTTGAGGGTGAGGAGAGAGAAAGAAAGGGGGGGACCCCTTTCCAGTCGCCCCCCAATTCTCCTCCCCATCTCCCTTGGAGCTTCTCTCTCCCTCCCTCCCTCCTCCAGCAGGAGGGTGCCCCCTCTTTGCAGACCCTTCCCCGGATAAAAAGTTGAGGGTGAGGAGAGAGAAAGAAAGGGGGGGACCCCTTTCCAGTCGCCCCCCAATTCTCCTCCCCATCTCCCTTGGAGCTTCTCTCTCCCTCCCTCCCTCCTCCAGCAGGAGGGTGCCCCCTCTTTGCAGACCCTTCCCCGGATAAAAAGTTGAGGGTGAGGAGAGAGAAAGAAAGGGGGGGACCCCTTTCCAGTCGCCCCCCAATTCTCCTCCCCATCTCCCTTGGAGCATCTCTCTCCCTCCCTCCCTCCTCCAGCAGGAGGGTGCCCCCTCTTTGCAGACCCTTCCCCGGATAAAAAGTTGAGGGTGAGGAGAAAGGGGGGGACCCCTTTCCAGCCGCCCCCCACCATCACGGTCCCTGGGCGTAATGTCCCTCCAAAACCCCGGCCGCTTCTCCTCCGTGGGGGCAAAAAAAAACACAAAAGGGAAGGGGTGGAGGTGGGTGGGGGGGAAAAAGGGAAGAAAAACGTGGCTTACCGGGATAACCGACGGAAGGATGCAACAAATCCATGCCCGAGGTTGTGAGACTCAGGCCATTGACTGCGTAAGGTGGTTGCTTAAGATAAGACATCATGCTAAAGTTGTGGCGGGGAGAAGGAGAGTTGGCCGAAATCCGGGCGAGGGGGAGCCGCCCGAGAGCCCTGCCTGCCCCGGGCGGTGCCTGGGGGTGCCGTCGGGCGGGGAGGGCCGCCAGGTGCCTGCAGAGGAGAAAGAGGAGGAGGAGGAGGAGGAGGAGAAGGTCAGGCAAGGTGAGCGGGAACCAAACAAGGGAGGCTTTGCAAACAAAGTGCTTGGTATCGGAGCCTGAAATCAGTGCTGAGCCAGGGGATTTTTCCAAGGGAAAGGAGCGGTGTTCTCCTTTTCCCCTTCCCCCCTCGACGTTGCTGCATTTCAGAGCTCAAATGCCCGCTCGGGAAGAGACAAACTTTTCTGCTCTCCCGCCATCGGTCCACCAGTCTGCAGTAATTTCCACCGGCCATTTGCACCTAATTAGTACTCCGGGTAATTAGATTTGGAGGCGAGTAACAGATTTATTAGGCTTTCAAGAAAACTCTTGATGACGGAGCCGAAGCTAAACAAACACCTCGGTGGGGAGCGGCCCCGGGACGGCCCCGGAGGGTGGGCGAGCGAACGGGCGGGTGGGCGAGCGGCTCCCCCCGGGCCCGGTTGCGGCTCCGGTTCCCCCGGGACCCCTCTCGCTGCCCCGGCGGGGCCGGGGGGATGATGGGGGGAGACCCAAACCCCCCCTCCGCCAACAAAACGGCCGAAAATGGGACCAGCCCGGAGTTCTTGAAAAGGTTAAGACTCTTTCCCCATAGAAAATATCTCTTATTTGTTGTCTTTTTGGGGGTAAAATCTCGCTTTTCCCTCCATTCCCGCCGGCCGTCGGAAAAAAAACAACTCCAGCGCAACTTTTCTTCGCCAAACACTTCAAAACTCGGTGTTTTGGGGAAGAAGCGCGCAGGGGAGCGGAG